ATTCTGCACAAGATTGCTTCAGCTATTTGAAGTCCTTTTGTTTCCATGGGAACTTTAGACTTGTTTTCCTATTTTTGTGGACACCGGCATTGGAGTTTTGACGAAGGTGCCTGGAATTTGTTTGGGTGTTACTTTTCATAAACTTTGTGTCTCTTTGGGTATGTCAAAGTCTTGAGCCCATATTAAGAAATTAGCTTGTCTCTTACCAAGTTCTTTTAAAACTGTATTGCCTTTATTTAGCTGTGTATGTGGTGTGTGTGTGGTGTGTCTGTGTATATGGTGTGTGTGTGGTGTGTATGTGTGTGTCTGTATGAATGTGTATGTGTGGTGTGTGTGCCTGTGTATGTATGTGTGGTGTGTGTGTGTGTATGTGGAGTGTATGTGTGTGTGCCTGTGTGAATGTGTATGTATGTGTATGGTGTGTGTGAATGTGTATGTATGTGTGTGTCTGTGTATATGCATGTATGTGTGTGTCTGAATGTGTGTGTATATGTATGCATGTGTGTCTGTGTGTGTTGTGTGTGTGAATATGTATGTCTGTGTGTGTGTATGTCTGTGTGTGTGTGGTGTGTCTATGTGAATGTGTATGTGTGTGTATGTCTCTGTGTGTGTGGTGTGTCTGTGTGAATGCGTATGTGTGTGTGTATAAGTCGTGTATGTGTGGTGTGTCTGTGTGAATGCGTATGTGTGTGTGTATAAGTCGTGTATGTGTGGTGTGTCTGTGTGAATGTGTATGTGGTGTGTCTGTGTGAATGTGTATGTGTGTGAGTGTATGTGTGTGTGTGTGTGTGGTGTGTCTGTGTGAATGTGTATGTGGTGTGTCTGTGTGAATGTGTATGTGTGTGTGTGGTGTGTCTGTGTGAATGTGTATGTGTGTGAGTATATGTCTGTGTGTGTGTGTGTGTGGTGTGCCATAGTGCACTTGTGGTTCACTCCTTCCACCATACGGGTCCTTTACCCGTGAGCTCCTTTACCCACTGAGTGATCTTACGCCAACTGCTGCACGCTTCTTGAGTACTAGTCCTTTGCCAAACAAAATTTTCAGATGTATTTTTTTCTCCCAAGCTGTAGTGTGCTCTGACTTCTTAATATTCTCTTGGGTTAAGCACTCCTTTACAATTGTGTTTCTCCTAAGGAACCTTTAATGAGAAAACTACCCTGTGTATTTGTGATTTTGAAATGGTTTTGCTCTGGGTTTCAGGCTCTCATCTGATACCCAGGGTCTTCTGCCTTAGTTCCTGAGGGCTGGCATCTCAGAATTCTCTCTCCACATGGTTTTTCTCTGAAAGCCTCAGGGCTGAGTTTCGTTTCATTAACTCTGTCAACCACTTGCGCAAATTCTGCTCTATAACGCCAGGAGGTCCAGTTTGACTTTTTCTGTTCCTTTTTGATTAATCCAGGTTGATACCCACTTGCTCCAGTGTTAACCAATGTCCACGTGGCTGTGAAGACCCAGGAAGTGGCATACCAGTGCCACCCTCCTGGCCTGTTACCTAAAATGCTTAATTTCACTTTTCAGCAAACTTTCTTGGAAGTTAAAGTTTTATAGTAAGCAATAAATTCATTCATTCAAGTCCCCTTTCTTCTTATTTGATTATATATTCTAGATCTTTGGCATTAATGTATAAATGTTGTAACTAATTTGTCAATTTCTACCAGGAATTCTATTGGGATATTATTGGGATAATATTGAATTGCAGGCATATTTGTGAGGAATTCATATTTCTCATTTGTCTTTCATTCTCAAACATGACACAATCTATATTTTTATATTTTAACTTCTATAGAAACAGCTTTGATATATATTATGCTAAAACTACTCAAAAAGGATTTTACTGGCTGCTGCTGTAGTAAAAGGTTTTTAAAACCTTATTCTCTATTTCTTGCGGCAAATAAAAAATTAATTAATTTTATGCAACAATCAATATGCCATGACTTTGCTGAATAATTAGAATCCTCTACCAGTAGTCAAATAAATTGCAAAGAGATCACTTTACTTTTTCTGAAGACTGAGCCCCGGGTTTCACTTGTGCTAGGCAGGAAGGTGTGTTTCTGCTGGTATCTACATCCTCGATTTCCTAGCCCTGGTTTTCTGCAGCTTCCAGTGTGTGTGCATGTGCATGTGCGTGGTGTGTGCATTTGTGTGTGTGGTGTGTCTGCATGTGTGTACATGTGCATGTGTGTGATGTGTGTGCGTATGCATTTGTGTGTGTGGTGAGTATGCATGTGTATTTGTGTGTGGTGTGTGAATGTGTACATGTGCATGTGTGTGCATTTGTGTGTATGGTGTGTGCATGTGCGTACACGTGCATATGTGTGGTGCGTGCATTTGTGTGTATGGTGTGTGTGCATGTGTGTACATGTGCATGT